TAAGGATTAATTTGAACGTCCTCAGTTTTAGTAAATGAAAGTTGTCTCCCAAAGAAGTTCAAGCAAGGGCCTTTCTGTTAACAGAAAATTTTCCAGTGATTTTTTTTTTCCTTATTCCACAATTCTCTTGATTGCAATTCTTTGATTAACTGCTAAGTTACCTATTTGAGAGCTCTATAGAGAGACCCAGCCTCAGAAAAAAAAAAAAATGTCCAGTCATAACACACACCTTTAATCCCAGCAGTCAAGAGGCAGAGGCAGGTAGATCTCTATGAATTTAAGGCCAACCTGGTCTATATAGAGAGTTCCAAGCCACCCAGGGCTACATAGTGAGACTCTCTCAAACAACAAAAAAAATTATGTGTATATGTGCATATATAAGTTTGTGTAGGTATGCAGGTATGTACGTGTGTGCATACATACCATCAGACCACCTTCTCCTTAAGAAGTCCTAGAAACAACATCAATGAAGACTGAGTCTAAACCATAGATTTCTAAAATTATAACAAGTTGAGTCAGATATTCCCTGCCAGATCCACCCACCCAAAGAGAATTCTGACTGACAAGGTTCAAGTCCTCCTCAGAGTTTGAAACCAAATGTCACCCTTGGAATCCAAGTGCCAAACTTTCAGTAACACAGGCAAGGCACTCCCAAAAGCTCACTCTATGAAAAGCCCTCATTAAACCCGGCGTTATATTTAGCAAAAAATGAACAGATGTTATATTTAGATGAAATGACTTAAGAGAATTTTACCAAAAGCAACGTGTTTATACTGATCTTCAAAAAGAAACGGTTTTTAGGCCGGCTAGACGGTTCAGCGGGTAAAGGCGCCTGCCACCAAGCTGAAGACCTGAGTTCAATCTCTGGAACCCACATGGTGGAAGAAGTGAATGGACTGCTGCAAGTTATCCCCTAACTTCACCTGTGTGCTATGGTATGTGGACCCTCCACAAGATTAATAAATAATAAATGTGTGAAAGGTTTCCCTTAGCTTCTTCCTTAGCTTCTGACTTCTTTATGCATATACAAAGAGTTCAGCTTATCTAGCTGGGCATGGTGGCACACACCTTTGATCCCAGCAGAGGCAAGTGGATCGCTGTGAGTTCTAGCCCAGACTGGCCTATAGAGAGTACCAGGCCAGTCAACAGTCAAGAATACATAGTGAGATCCTCTCAAAAAAAAAAAAAAAAAAAAAGCAAGACTGCCCTCAGAACACAGTAATTGAAAGCACCTAAAACTCAGTGCATATTTAAATCCCAGAACAATTTTGCACAGAAGTCTGAGTTAGAATCATGTGACACAGGTGAACAATTTAAATCTAAGCTTCAGATAATAATGCCTAAATTTACACACTGGACACAAAAAACACAGTTGTAGTCAGCAACTCTACCTAGACGTGCTCCTTTCCAAGATGTTATTAGCACTCATGTTGTGGTCACAAGCTACTCTATCACCGAGAAGCCAGCTTGCAGAACCACATTCAATATTTCCCTTTTGGCTCCTCTTTATCTTAAACTATTTTGATATCCACTTTTGTGTGTGTTTATGTGATTTTTTTATTGATCTTTACTTTGGGGCAGGATCTTGAAGTGTCACTCAGGCTGGCTTCAAACTTGCAATGTGCAATGATCCTTCTGCCTAGCTTCTGGTGTGCTGAGATTATAGGTATGTATGTACCACCCTGCCTGTCTTGACTTATATTTTCTTAGAAAAATTTTAGTCAGTAGCACTTAAGTAGTCTTGCAAACCTATGAGGTCTCTTCAAGAAAGAATGTGTAAATTTAGGCGAAGTGTGGTTGTGTATCTTTAATCTCAGCATTGGGGAGGCAGGTAGATCTCTTGAGTTCAAGCCTAGCCTAGTCTATGCAGCATGTTTAAGCCCAACCAGGGTTACATTGAGACCTTTTGTAATACTTCTAAAGTACTGGAAAGAGAAAACATGGCTTGTGCCAGCTATCCCCAACTCCACAAGCCTCAGCTTCCCAGGGTCTTTAAGAAGCACAGATATGATGACACACATCTATAATCCAACACTCAGGAGGCTGACACAGGAGCATCTCAAATTCAAGGCTAGCTTGACTACATAATGAGACCCTGTCTCAAAACTTGGCCATTACCCCGGGGTAAGGGGATCTCTTCTCTAAAGAATTTTGAGAAGAGGCCATTTCTGAGCATCCCAGCCAAGCAGAGGTATGATCATGGGGCAAGGTGGCCAGACTACAGGACTGGCCAGGCCCTGCTTTCCCTATAGCAATATTGCCAAGGGGTGAGGGTGCTGGGGATTCCTGCCTACAAGGCCAAAGCTCCATAAACATTTCAAAAATACTGCAGCCAATCCCCACGTTGGCTTCTGGTTTGGTTATTTCCAGAAACTAGAGCAGCAGGGACATGGGGTCCCCCAATTTTATACTACTTGTGGACCTTAGCAAAGTCTACACTTGTGAAAATTACACGCAGAAGAAAGACCTAAAAACCCAAAGACAGACTAAATCATATATCCCAAGAATCATCTCCCAACCTATGAGCTCCTGTCTCACCCCTCTTCTATCTATCTGCATTCATTGGGAAATCAGCAAAGAGAACCAACTCAGGTTGACTGCCTCCCAAGAGAATCATATTGTACTGATTCCATCCTCAAGAGGAAAATTATCATCCAGAGTCCAAACAGGTGCTTAAGTGTGTCCTAATCTGCCTGCCTTACTAGTAAAGATGCTCAAAAATAGGGTCAAGTTAGAAAGACACTTTCCTTGTACATCAGTGAACCAGTGAACTTTGCAACTGAGCAGGCAGGCATATGAGAACACAGAAACACTTGGGGAATTGAAATTCCGCTGTTAAGGGAAATAAGACTGTAGACATAGGAGTGAGATTGGAATCAAAGTCTCCAGGCCAGTGGGCTAAGAAATGGGTTTGGAGGGGGCGTCAAGATGGCTCTGTGAGCAAAGGCACTTGCCACAAAGCCTGACAACCTGAGTTGGATCCTAGGAACCCACATGATAGAAGGAGAGAACCAGCTCCTACAAGTTGTCCTGTGACTTCCACACAAGTGCCCTGGTCTTGCACACACACAAACACAGAAAATGAAATATATATATCTGGGCTGGAGAAATGGCTCAGCAGTTAAGAGAACTGACTGCTCTTGCACAGGACCCAGGTTTGGTTCCCAGCACTCACATGGTGGCTAACAACAGCCTGTAACTCCAGTTCCAGGGGATCCAATGCCCTCTTCTAGCCTCCGAGACCATAGCATGACATGGGTGCACTTAACATGCAGGCAAAACATTCATACACATAAAAATAAACTAATTATATATATGAAATGGATGGGAAGGAATCTCCTTGAAGGAGAAATATATTTGGGACATTCTTGGTGACTTTAACTTCCTAAGACCTGACTCAGAGCTGACACACAGCTCTGTTAGGACCCCCCCCAAGTCCCCACTCTCCAGACACCCTAATGATAAAACAGGGAAGCAGGACTGAAGTGGCATAACTCAGTTATGCTTTGCATCTGTAGACATGGGAAGGAAAGTTGATCACAGAAGAGAAGGTTCTCCCAACACTTACACACATCTTTAACATGAATGAGAAAAAGCAAAGCCATAGGCCTGTATCCAGTTTTCACCTCCTTGAGGTGAAGAAGAAGGGGTCCTTGTGTGTGCTCCGATGGCAGCAGGGTCAAAGTATGGAGTTTTCCTTCCCTCACAGGGCAAAGGCAGGAGGTGTGTGGGTGGTTGCAAGCCCCTCTCGATCCACCGCGGCCTCCCCTACTTCTGGAACTGTGAGGAACGCTCCCGCATTGCACCAACTATGTGTGGAGACCACCTCCTTCCACCAGAAATGACAAGGAGCAACATATTCAGTACCTAGCTCTTTTTCCGAAGTCCTTGGTTAGACTCTTTAAGAGAAATGTTGGCTTAAAGTTAGTTTGCTCAGGACCCCGCTCCTGAGGGAGCAACACTCCATTCCCCCGCCCCCACCGAGAATGAACCAGCAGACTCTGGGAAGCTGGGTGGAAAGCAAGATCCATCGATGCTCACGCAGGAAAGCAGGCACACAGTAGGTAGGTGCGTACCCAAGATCTGCCATGCAACCCAGCATCAGCCCATGGGGCCGGGTGTGGAGTGGCGACTCGAGGGACACAAAGGCCTCCTCAGCCTGGGACAGTACCCCTCATTACTCGAGAGAGTGGAGGGAATTTAGAGGGAAAGAGGAGGTGAAGGAATCCGCCCTCATTTGCACGTTGTCTGCGGCCTGGTCAATTTGCTTAATCACCGCTCTAAATGCCAGGAGCACAGCACACAAAGCGCGCCCATTAACAGGTTTAAAGTGTCGCAGCACTCGCTTTAAATGAGAAAAGCCGGCAACAAAAGAGGGAAAAAGCCAAGTTCCTCGCCTTGAAGAATGCCTAGGGTCGCCCTCCAAATCATCCCGGGGGCAGTTTAAAATCCAGAGCGCTACGGAAAAGTTGAGGCCCCCGTTGGAGGACTGGGGGTGGGGACAGGGACTGTGAATAATCAGCCCCGAATGAAGAATTTGTCCAGCTCTTGTCCAGGTCGCAGCAGCCCAGGGAACCGGGAGACAACGTCTCAAGCCAGGCTCCTCCAAGCCCTCGCCCAACTGCCAAGGGGAAAGCGGACCGATCTGGAAGGAAAATGAGACCCCTCCCTCCCACCCACCCCCACTCCCCGCCTAAAAGCAGGCACAAATCCAAGTTTTCCTTTGGACCAAGCAAGGAACTCGGGGGCTAGGAAAGACCGGCGAGGGGAACTCCCTAGGCCTCGATCCCCAAAAGGGAGTGAAGTTAAAAGGCACTTTACATTCATCCCGACACTGGCCAGAGCAGCCTCACGCTCGGCCGCCACAGGGAGTTTAACTCTGCAAACAAGTTCTGCCCAGGAACGGCGCTGGAGTCCCCATCCCCCACAGCACTGCTGAGCCGAGAGCGCATCTCCCCGCCCGCCGCCCACCCACCCGGCACAGCCGGATGGACACTTACGGTGCGAGCTCCACCCGGAGACAGGGGTCCGTTGGAGAGGTATGGGCTGCTCAGGTCTGGGATCATCAGGAAGGGGTACCCAGGGTACGCAGGTCCCTTAAAGAACGCGCCGTCCTGGGGCCTTCTCACTGAGGACAAAACCAAAGCGGGGTGAAGCCGGGGCCCCCGGGACATCTCCGAACTCGGGGACTCCGAGTTGGAATCAAGAACCCGGGCACCCCTCCAGCGAGCCAAAGGTGGCTACTGCAGAGACCCGAGGAGCGCAGGGGCTCCGCCACAGCGGCCATGGGGGTGCTGTGGACCTCCCGGAGCCCCGGTCCCTGTGGCGCCGGAGAGTGGAGACTGGCGGAGAATGCACGTACCTTCAGCGAAATAGTCCCGCGGCTTCTGGAAAGCGTCCCGGGCAGGCTGCGGGCGCCTCTCCGCCTGTGGAGGAGACACAAAGGCGAGGGCGGGTGAGCGGGAGCCGACCCGGGTCCCCCCAGGGCTGACCATGCGCGTCTCTGTACCTCTGAGTCTGAGCTGCTGCTCTGATTCTCCGACTCGTTGACCAGGGACGACTTGACCTCATCCAGGTCCCGCTGTGCCGATGCGCTGTCGCTGCTCGGCTCCTGCTCCTCGCCCCCCTCGTCCTGGAAGGGGATCAGTTCGTCGTTCGCCCCGAGGTCGTCCCCTCCACTGGTTGCCCCGGCTCCGGAGCCGCCGCCGCCCCCGCCGGCGCCGCCCCCGCCGCCACCACCGAGCTGGGGCATGGTGGGGCCGCCGGCCGGGGCCACCGCTCACGCTCGGAGCCCTGCGCCCTGCCCGGCTCGGCCCCGCGCCCCTCCCTCCCGCTCTCGGATCGGGCTCGATCGCCCCGGCTGCAGCTACTACAAAGTTTTGACAGGGCGTGGCCCCGCTGGAAGCAGGGCCCGGCGTGGCTCGGCCGGGGCAGGGGACACTCGGCTCGCGATCGTCCTGCAGCGCCGAGCCCTGGGCTCCCCAACTCGCAGCCACCGCAGCCTGCTCGGCCGGGGCGTCCCAGTGCCTGGCCTGCCGGGGAGGGGCGATCGGGGAAGGAGGGAGGGACCGCCCGGCAGGGCAGGGGGGCCGGAGGGAGGAGTCCCGGCTGCAAGCTGACACCCGCGCCTCGCGGAACCGGGAGAGCTCGGCGCGCGCACACACACACTCGATGCACACTCGCGTCCCGCTCGCTCGCACCTTTCGGGACTAGCCGCCTGCCACGGCCCTACCCCCAAATTCGTCCAGATCCCCTCCGCTGAACACCACGGTACCCCGGGACTTCCTCCCTGCACCCTCCTGCAAAGCCTCGGCGTCTGGCCAGCACCCCGCCGCATCCCTAACTTTCTTTGCAAACAACCCCCAGAACTCGGAGTTGGTTCCCACCGACGCTGTGGCACTGGCGGGCAGCACTGCCCCCTGTGGGAAAGCCTGGGACACGCACACTGCGCCCAGCCGCTCTGTCGGGAGTTCCTGGAGCGCCGGATCCCATCAGGCCTGCGTTACCCAGCCGGATGCACAAAACAAGACTAGAAATTTATGACATTTCGAAACAAGCCGGGTGTCCTTCCGCTTCTCTTTCCTGTGGGGTTCCAATGGGTTTCTCGCCCCAAACTGGGTTTTCGGTCTTGTCCAGATCCCCTGAGTCAGGTCCCGCTGAAACCCCAAAGATCACCCTTTCTCTGTTGTGGAAGAAATCTTAAATCAAATGTCTTGGATTCAGAAAGGAGTTTGATATCATTCATTTCAAGGAGAAATTGTCGTCTTGGGATCTCCAAAGCTTATCATGAAGCTGCCTCGGTAGCCAATACGCATAAGAAAAATACCTAGCCATCTTCAGAGGCAAAGAAATCGCATTAAGGTATCATCCCTAGACTGGCAAGAGGCCTCAACGGGTAAAAACACTTGCCACCAAACCTGATGGCGGGAGTTTGATCCCCAGTACCCACATGGTGGAAATGGAGAATCAACTCCTGAAAGTTGTCTTCTAGCCTCTACACTCCTGGCTCTCCACCATGTGATAATAAGTGATAATTTTAAAAGATATTCCTCCCCGCTGAGGATGTAGCTCAAATGGTAGAGCATATATTTAGTATGCATGAGGACTTGGGTACAATCCCCAGGTAGAGTCATGCATCTTAAACAGCCAGCTAACGAGAGGGGGTAGAAGTCAGTGTGAGGATATTTTAAACACAACTAGCAGAGGAGTTTTGTAGAAGTAGGACAAAGTCACAGATAGAAGTTCAAAGCATGAGGGAGATTGCTAAAATGCATTCTGTAGACCTATAGAAAGAAAGTGAAGGTCAGGAGAGGGAGAGAAGGAGGAAAGGAGGGAGGGTGAACTGGTAGTGCTGTCCTCTGGAGTCCCAAGGAGAGACCATTCTTTGCCTCTTGGTAGCTTCTTGGGGCTCTTGGCATTTGAAATTGTGATCCCAACATGCTAATTTCTGTTATCTGTGGTCACATTGTTTTCTTTTTTGTCCATTTCAAACCTCCTTATAAGGAAAGACACTTGTGATGGTATTTGGGGACCACTCCACTAACCTTGGATCACTAAAGCACATCTTCAAAGACCAGTTTTCCTTATTCATAGATTTAAGGGATTAGGTAGTGGACCTGCCTCTGGGAGTGAGCCATTGTCAACCTACCACACCTATCTACTTCGAAGAAATGCAAATTAAAGCAACACAGAATACCATTTTCTCATCTATCAGATTGGCACAGGTAGAAAAGACTGGTAACGCCCAGCGTTGGCCCCTGTGCACAGAAACACACGGCTCTAACGTGCCATTGTGTAACATTTCTGAAGGGAAGTTTGGCAATACCTTTGAAAAACCTTGAAAAGTGCAAATGCTTTGACTCATCCTTGTACTTCTAGGATTTTATACTAATGAAATAACCTGTAAGAGTGTGTTCACCATAATGTAAAGCTAGAAACAATCTTCTTGTTTCTACACAGGAAATTGTCACATAAAATCATGATGCATTCATCCAGTGGAACACTGTTGACACTGTGGAAGGACGTTTGTCAGTGTGCAAAGAGACTCATGATAAGAGGGACAGTAACACATTAAAAGGAACATATGCGAAGCCAGGAGTGGTGGCACAGCCTTTAATTCCGGCATTCAGGAGACTGACAGAGGCAGGCAGTTCTCTGAATTCAAGGCCAGCCTGGTCTACAAAGCAAGTTCCAGGACAGCTGGGGCTACAGGGAGACTCTGTCTCCGAATACCGGAAGAAAAGAGAAAAGGAACATATGGAATCAAGCAAATCACAAGTTCAAGTTCAAAACCAGAAGCCGACTTGGACTCCATAATGAGCTGAAGACCAGCCTGGATTGTATAGTGAGTCCCTGTCTTTAAAAAATGGAGTTGGGGCTGGAGAGAGGGCTCACTGGTTGTTCTTGCAGAAGACCTGGGTTAGAATCCCAGCACCCACATGGCAACTAACAACTGTCCATAACTCCAGCAGGGGATCTGACAGCCTCTTCTGACCTCCTCGGGCATTGCATGACATGGGTGCACTTGCCTACATGCATGCAATACATGCATACACATAAAAAAAAAATTCTAAAAAAACAAACAAAAAGAAAACAAAAAAACAGAGTTAACATACAGGGCTGGGGTATAGCTGACTGGTAGAGCACAAACCTTAGCATATGCAACCCTGAGTTCAATTCCCAGCACCAAAATCAAATCCGATTAGCATATATAGACTTCTGCTTCCCATCACATTGGAGTATTGACATCAGAGGGACCCAGCTATCAAGAACAAATTTAGACTGAGCCCTATGTGGTGGTATACTGGTGATCCCATCCCAGCACTAGAGAGCCAGAAGCAGGAGTATTAGCAAGTTTGAAGCTAGCTTGAACTACATAGTGATAGGTTGCCTCAAAAAAAAAAAACTAAAAAGTCTGAATAAAATGCTAAAATAAAATAATAACTCAGATGGTTTCAAGACATTGCTAAGGACTGACTGAGTCAATCAAATTTTGAGGTGTCATCTGGTATGGTGGCACATTTTGATAAATCCAGCACTTGGGAGGTAGATGTAGGAGGATCAGGAGTTCAGAGTTGTCTTTGGCTACATAAACAGTTTGAGGACAGCTTGGGGTACATGAGAATCTGGCTCAAAAAATAAATAAATAAATAAAAAAGGAAAAGGAAGAGGAGGAAGAGGAGAAAAAGAAGGCAGCATATACCACTGGGGGGAGTCGGAGGGAGGAAATAGTAGATAATGATCGCATTTCATTTTATACAAGTATAAAATTCTCAAAGAATAAAAATCAAATCTGAAGTGGAAAAAAAAGCCAAGAAAACAAAAACAACAAACGAATAAACCACCCCCCACCCCCACCCCCACACAAAACATACTTAGCCAGGAGTGGTGTCCCAAACTCGTTACTAAGGAAACAAGGGCAGGAGAATCACCGCCAAGTTCAAGGTCAGCTTGGTCTACATAGCATATTCCAGGCCAGCTGGGGCTACAGACAGGCTCTGTCTAAAAAAAATAACAAAAAAACAAACAACAACAACAACAACAAAACAAAACAAAAAAGCAAAGAGATCTTTCAAATCCCAGCAGTGTGTATATACGAGGGGTCAGGTAGGGGGCTGGATTTGAAGTATCCCTGTTTACCTGAGTTTTGAAGCTGCCATGATGAGCTTTGGTCATACTGTAAGGAACAGGGGTCCTCAGCCACATAAATAAATAAATAAATAAATAAATAAATAACCCCAAGGTGTCAATACACCAGAAAGGAAATTTACTCAGGTAAATTTATATTTGCCATTATTTCATTCTTTTAGAGCTTCTGGTGATTTGTAGCATCAGACATAGAGGCCAAATAAAAAAGAAACTGTCTAGAGCAACCAAACTAAACCCTGTTCCTTGGGGCAGAGAGATGTCTCAAAAGATAAGGGTGCTTGGTGCCAAGCCTGATGACCTGAGTTCAGTCCTTGGACTCCACATGGTGAGACCCAACTGACTCCTATGGGTTGTCCTCTGATCTCTACATTCATGCCCCAGAACACACAACATAATAAATAAAGTATAAAGAAAAATAAAGCCTTTTCCTTGCTCTTTTTTTAGATTTATTTTTAATTATGCATATACGTATTTATCTGTGTGTCGGTATGTGCACTTGAGTACAGGTGCTGGTGGAAGCTGGAGGCATCAGATCCCCTGGAGCTGGGGTTACAGAGAGCTGTAAGCCACCAGACATGGGTGGTGGGAACCAAATCAAGTCCTCTGCAAGAGCAGCAAGCACTCTTAACTGGTGACCCATCTCTCCAGCCCCCTTTTTACATTATTGAATGACTAGAAAAGTCAAAGAAGGATGTTTTCTGATATGTGAAAATTATATGAAATTCAATTTTCATTGTTGATGAAGTTTTATTGGGACATGGTCACACTCATTAGTTTGCATATTGTCTATGGTTGCTTTCATGCTACAGTGATGGTAGTAGTTGCAACAGAGACCATACTGGGTGGTCTCATCTCTTCCTCTCACTGCTCAGGATAAAAGTCATAGGTGCCAAGTTTCAATGCCATATGCCTCTTTGTGCTGTAACATTTTATTTTATTACTTTTTCTTAAAATATTTATTATTTTATGTGTATGAGTGTATTCCCTGCATGCATGTGAGTGCACCATGTTGTGCAGTGCCCGAGGAGGTCAGAAGAGGGCATCGGATTCCCTGAAACTGAAAGCAGGGATGGTTGTTAGCCACCATGTGGGTGCTGGGATTCGAACCCAGGTCCTCTGCAAGAGCCACCAGTGCTCTTAACTGCTGAGCCATCTCTCCAGCCCCAACATTTTTTAATAATTATTACCAGTGTATATCCAATGTGCCAAAAAGTAAACTATAAATGTTGTTTTAGAGGGGAGAAGGGGATTGGGATTTGATTGCTGGAGCCACAGAAATGTGTGCAGAGAAAATAATCTGCTTAGGAACTGCTTGAAGAGTTGAAGATATTGGAAATAATATTAGTAATCAATAAGAAGCATCATGGTGTCCAAGTGTTCTCTTAGCACTTATGAGATAGGCAGGA